TAAGAACATTTCCGCACTCTCAGGGCCGGAGTGCAACTGACATGACTGTCACCATCCCAGGCCCAGTCAGCCACAACCTAAAGAATGTCCAGGCGTCTTCCCATTTGGCCCTCTACAGTGGTGTTGGCTTTTGTTTTGCGTTTGGGTTTCCCACCTTTCTAGGTGCTGGGAGGACAAAGCCAGAGGGAGCCACTGGGCAGGTGCAGAAAGAGTCCAAAAGGGGTCCAAAGTGTTCTGAGGTCAGACATAACAGGTCCTTGGGGAGGCCGCCCCATGATCCTCTCTGGCTGCCCCTGAAGAGGCCTCAAATGGCAATGGGCTGGGGTGGGGTCAGGACACGTGGGGTCCAGGCCTGGCTCACTGGCTCTGAGCTTGGGCACCTCACTTGCTTTCTGTGCCCATTTCTGTGCTGTGTCCCTTCCCCTCATCTTCCTGGAGCCCAAGGCTGGGCCCGGCCTGTGTGGAAGAGAGCAGTCTGGGCTTTTTAGGCCGAGGACTTTGAGTTTTATCCAGGGACGCGGATCCCTGCTGGTGTTGGTGATTCCACTCACGTGACTTAGTAAACCGACAGAATAAGACCTCAGGCAGGTGAGCCCCACTCTGGACAGCAGGGCCCAGCCTTGGTGACTTCGGGCCTGGCTTTTGAGTCTACTCTTTTCTTTTCTTTCTTTTTAACATATTTTATTGATTTTTTTTTTTTTTTTACAGAGAGGAAGGGAGAGGGATAGAGAGTTAGGAACATCAATGAGAGAAAACGTCGATCAGCTGCCTCCTGCACAACCCCCCTACTGGGGATGTGCCCGCAACCAAGGTACATGCCATTGACTGGAATTGAACTCGGTACCCTTCAGTCCATAGACCGATGCTCTATCCACTGAGCCATACTGGCTAGGGCATGCTTTTTTCTTTAAAAAAATATATATATATATATGTTTATTGATTTCAGAGATGGAGAGAGAGATAGAAACATCAATGATTAGAGAGAATCATTGATCAGCTGCTTCCTGCTCGCCTCCCACTGGGGATGGAGCTTGCAACCTGGGCATGTGCCCTGACCGGGAATCAAACCCTGACCTCCTGGTTCATAGGTTGACGCTCAACTGCTGAGCCACACCAGCAGGGCCTGTTCTTTCCTTTGAACATCCGTCCCCACACAGGTGGCCTCTCCTCTCGGAGACGCCAGGAACAGCTAAGCCACCCACTGTGTCCTGGCCTGGAAACCCGCTCTGTTAGCATGCGTTGGCCCCGCGGTGCTCCACATTTTTTCCATGGAGGCCCTGCGGTGCTCTGCATTTCTTTCATCGTTAAAAACGGACTTCAAATAAGACCCTGGATTTTTTTGGCCACCGCTCCTGGGATGAGGCCAAGCTCCTCAGCATGACCCCGTTCTGCCCGGGGCTCACTCTGCGGTTCCCCGGCCATCCCGTCTCCACCTTTTCCACCAGACTTGGCAAGAGTGTGTACAACAGTGTGGACACGGTGTGGGGAATGCATAGGAGAGAGGGGCACATTCCACAGGGGTGGAAACCTCAGTCCCCGGGCTATCCTTTAGTTCAAAGACAGCTAATCACGAACTGCCCCAGGGTGTCCCCGGGGTGTAGGTACCTTTAGTTGTTCTTGCCTGGCCTGTTATGTAACTCTCTGCAGGAAGGTGGGGGCTTGTGGTAATTATGTGACCCAGCAGGCTGAGCCCTGCCCTGGGCAGTGTCCCCAGACTGCAGAGGTGGAACTGGAAGGCTTGATGGGTCAGCCCTGAGGGTGGGGTGGGCTGGGAGGGAAGGGGCAGGATTTGTAGGACTCTGAGGAGGTAGTTTGGGTTGTTACCACGAGAGGCCCTTGTGATCGCCATCCCTCCTGCCCTCCTGCAGACACCATGGGTGTCTGCAGACACCCCCTCCCGCTGCTCTGTGAGGTCCACCGGTTGAGGGCTCCCTGGCCATCACCTGGGGTGGCTCCTGGGGGCTGGTTCACCTGTGTTGTGAGCCTGGAGGACCCGGTGTTTACCCTGAAGCCTGGATATTGGCTGTCCGGGGGTGGTTTTTTGTCCATACCAGCCAGGAGGTCTGAAGCAGTGTCTCTTGGGCTTGCTAACTTGGTCACCCGCGGGCATGCCTGTGAGGCATGTTAAGGTGCACAGCCCTGGCCAGCCCAGACCTTCAGGTGGCCACCTGGATCGGGGTTCAGAGCCGAGCTCATTTCTGACAAGCACTTCCTGTAGTTTTAAGAAGCACCGTCTGCGGTTTCTGAAGCTATAGAAATGAAAGCAAGTGTTGTTGGAACTGGTGTCTGGGGCCTGTGCCATTGCCCCAGGACGTGGGGAAGTCCCCATCGCTTCTGGAGATGACAGGAGGGCCACGTGCAGGGCTGTTTAAATTCTTGGCTGTTTGCCCCATGCCTGCTGCTCAGGTGGGTGAGTGTATGGTTGTTCTGGTCTCCAGGGAGCAGTGCACTAAGCGTGGGAAAGTGAACTGAGGGGTGGAATGGGGTCCCTGGTGGTACGTGTACCCTGAGGTGGGCCGCTCTGGCTGCAGTACACTGCTCAGCAAAGGGAAGTGAGAGTGGTGGTCGGATGAGTGAGAGTCCTTTGTCTTCTAAACCGCAGTGCTTATTCCTGTAACTCTGGGGAAATGCAGTGGAGGGAAGGAAGTGAAACCCCTCTGGCCTGGGGCCGCCTCCTCTGTTGAACGGGCCAAGGCCCTCCCAGCTGTTGGACTGGGAGAGCAGCCGGGGCCTGTTTGGCCTGTGTGCTCATTCTGGGTGCTGGAAGAGGGGACCAAGTTTGCCCTTTCCTGCCTGGCTGAGGGTTTCTTTTCTTTTTCTTTTTTAAAATATATTTTATTGATTTTTTTACAGAGAGGAAAGGAGAGAGATAGAGAGTTAGAAACATCAATGACAGAGAGTCATCGATCAGCTGCCTCTTGCACGTCCCCTACTGGGGACATGCCCACAACCAAGGTACATACCCTTGGCCGGAATCGGACCCGAGACTCTTGAGTCCATAGGCCGACGCTCTATCCACTGAGCCAAACTGGTTTTGGCCTGGCTGATGGTTTCATTTGGACCCTTGAAATGGTGGGGGCTATCCCAGGATCCTGTAACATCCAGGCCACTGTTGCCCCTACCGTCCCCTCCCTTAGAAATTCTCTGTCATTCCGGAAGCTGCCCCTTGCCCATGCCCTGCCCTTCCTTTTGGCCCCATAAACCCACCAGGCCCAGCCTGAGGGGTTCCACTGCCCTCCCGCCACCTCATTTCCCCTGAGTTACCGACACAAGCGCTGCGGTTTAGAAGGCAAAGGCCGCTCACTCAGGGGACCGCCGCTCGCTCCCTTTGCTGAGGCTCTCATCCCGTGCAGAGGAATCAGAGGTCTGGTGAGCGGTCTCTCTCTGCCCTCGGTGGCCTCGGGTGTGTGTGTGTGTGTGTGTGTGTGTGTGTGTGTGTCTGCTGTCACCTGGCTTTCCTGGGCCTCATCCAGGGAGGAATGTAGGAACAATTTGTGCTTGGGTGGTCTCTGAGCAGCATGCTGGCCAAGGCGCAGGGCGGAAGTGCCCAGAATCTGGTGGCTTCTCCAGAGAACCGGGTCCTGTATTTTGGAAACTTTTTGCATCTACTGCTGGGGGATCAGAGGAGATTTCTCACCAAAGACAGACCTTCTGCAGTCACCCTCCCAGAACAGGTTGTGTAGTAAGGGACACAGAGCTGTCCCCAGATCTCTCAGCCTCTCCTCCCCCTCCACACCCCTGCACCCAGGGTGTCCCTGCCCCTCCTGAGCCATGGAACTGGTGGGCCTTGCCTTATTCTTACTGTGTCTGCTCGGCGTGGGCACCCTTTGTCCCTGACACAGTTTTCCTGGCAGCTCCCTGTTTGACTCTCACTGAACAGCGATGTTTGTATCGGTGTTAATGGAAAATGAAAAGCGCATAACATACAGCAAAGGCATCAGAAAACAAAACAGAACAGCAGATAACTTCGTATTCGGATACCTAGACGTGATCATCTGCCCATCTGCGCTATAAGGGGCCAGTGGTGGGCATTGGTGCAGTGCCATCACCCTGGCACCAAACGGAGGCTCTACCCAAAGCGCCTCTGAGCCAGGCCACCCTCCCTCAGCTCATGGTGGTCTGGAGCTCCATCTGTCCCCTGTGGCCCCTTCCCTTCCCCTGGTACACTCCTCACTGCCTGCTTCTCCCTCTGCCTCCCCACCTACTCTAAGCTCTACCTCCAAACCCCACCTGCCCAGTCTTGTGCATGGAGTCCCCCAGAGGCCAGTAATGCCCCAGAGAGCAGGATGCCCCAGACATACCCCTCCTGGGGAGGATGTGTGCCCTCAGATATCTCCATAAGGCTGGTGGTTACCTCTGTTAGAAATAAGGCGAGTCCCCCAAGTCAGGGGTTCTGGTAGAATACAAAACACTGGGGAGCCAGGCAGTAAGGCAAACATATTTACTTCTATGTAGAAGGCCGCACACACATGGTCTGGAAGCGCGTGCACACGAAGCAGGCAGTCTGCTCAGATTTATAATTCCTTACACACATCCTTTGCTCTTGATTGGAGCTCAGGCGCACAGTCTTCTGCTATTGGCTAATTCAAAGGGAGGGGTTGGCCTTTGCTGTTTCAAGATGGCAGCCCCCACCGGAGCTGCAAGCCATGTGGCCAACATGGAGGCTGCCAAGTCACATGGTTCAAAATGGCTGTCTTAACTGTTCTTTGACAGAAAAGATGACTTGTTTATTCTCATACTACATGGGACCAGGAAGCCCTGGAGACTCCCTGGAGGTGGTGGTAGCCTGGTCTGGGTGGGTGTGGCATCTAGATTGTTGAGAGCCCCATCTAGGTTGAGAGCATGGGACTGGGGCCTGTGGGCCCCTCTCCCCAACTCCGTGTAAATGTGGGATCCTGACTGAGCGAGAGAGGGGAGACGGCCCTTCAGCCAAGTTCTGGGGAGGAGGGGAGTTGTGTGCGGGCTGCTGAGATGCCCTGACTCTCTGCTCTTCCCTCCAGGGGCAGCATCACCTTCAGTCCCTCCAGGGCCGTGTGGAGCCTGGGCAGCATGGCATCCTCCAGCCAGAGGGTGGAGAAGCCAGGGACCCTGGAACCCCAGCCGGAGCCTGGGTCGGGCCGCGAGCTTCAGTCCTGCCGGTGGCTGGTATTCTACCTCTGCTTCTACGGCTTCATGGCCCAGATGCGTCCCGGAGAGAGCTTCATTACCCCTTACCTCCTGGGCCCTAAGAACTTCACGAAGGAGCAGGCAAGTGGACGTGGGGATAGTGGGCAGGGGTGCCCCCTGGATGGGGAAGCAGTGGGGGCTGTGAGGTTAGGCAGCCATTCCCAGTCCCTTAGGGGGCACGGACGGGCCTGACTCTCACTTATGAACCAGGCCAGTTAAAGAGTGACAGTGGCTGCAGAGGGGGTCCGAGGCAGCCACGGATGTCTGAGGGAGGAGTGCAAGGTGGGGAGAGTGGGCCCACCTGCCTGGCACCTGCTCCCAGCAGAGAGACTCGGCAGCTATTTGCCTAAGGAGATTATTGAAGGAATTTCCTTCAGTCGCCAGGCGGACAAAGGACCTTGTTGAAAGCCGACTAAGTAAGCTTATCCCAGCGGGGAGTGGTGGTGGGAGGAGGAGGGGGCAGGGCAGGCTCTAGCCCTAGTGCTTTCCTTCTCCATAAAATAAAACAAAGAAACTCAGAGGCTGTTGGTTGATGAGGCACACGGTCTGGGTACCCATCCAAGCTCTGCTCACCACCCTGCTCTCCACCCGAGGACCCTGGCACCTGCCCCAGAGCTGGTCCCGGTCAGAGCTGGTCCTGATCAGCACTGGTTCCGGGCTGTTCACCTCCATTCCCGCAGCCTCCTCTGCCCTTCCCATGTGGCCACCAGCCTCCCCCACCCCCTGTCACCATAGCCGGATCTCCCTGGGTCCTGCTGACCTTTGATTTCTTCAGGAAGTCCCTGCCTTTCCCTGGCATGGAGTGTGGCCCCAACCCCTTGCATACCCTCAAATTGTTTAAGTCCAGTGAAGTGTCTGTGCGAGTGAGGCCTGTCCCCTCCAAGGAGCCATCTTGGAGATAAGGAAATGGCCACGTACTGGCCCACACAAACTCAGAGTCTGTCACTGTGTCTGATTCCAGGGCCAGTGCTGACTGCTGGAGCTGGTCACTTCCCAGGTGAGGCTGGGTGGGGGGCTGGGGCCTATGGGTTGTCTCCTGTGCCCCCCAGAACCGCAGGGACTCCTCTGAGTAACCATCCCTCACGTCCCTCACTTACTGGGCAGCCGAGGGCTCTCTCCTTCCTTAGAACACCGGTCCGATCTTAAAGAGGGGCCATCGTCTGCTGCGATCACAGGAATCATCATGTACACAAAGCTCTAGTAAGATAACAGGAAAAATCCCTATAGCAAAAATTTACAAGTCCCGTTCACCTGCCCTCTCTGGTTGCACATTAGCTGATTATATAGAAGATTCCAGAAATGAAGCCATTCCCCCGAGCTTGGGTGTCATCAGAGAGACGGCAGGCTTGTGTCTGGGAAGTGCGTGTGAGCCTGCCTGCCGGGCCTGGCTGGGCAGAGTTACCCACGTGGGCCAGAGACTGTCTTACCAAGGGCGCACCCTAGGGGATTCAACCCGGCGTGTCTGCTCTCAATGGGTCACCCCGAGGGACCATGATGCCGTATCCCGGACACCGACACCTGCTCCCTCTGCCCGAGGCCACAGCGTCCAGTTTCCCTCTTGCCCCTGTGGACCTTCTGCCCATCTGATAGCTATTAGACGAGTGTTTCCTCGATTTCTGCCTTGGCATGTTTCCTGGCTGTTCCCATGCCAGGGCTGTGAGTGAACCAGCTGGAGCAAGAGGGTGCAACCAGCCTCGCAGTGGGCCCTGCATGCTGACCGGGGCTCTGCTCTGGCCCTTGGTTTCCCTCTGTCCAGTGAGGCCTTGGAGCCTGCCGGCCTCTTGGGGCTGAGGGCTACCTGTGCTGGTCTCAGCAGACAGTCCCGCTCATGGTGTGGTTCTGGTGAGGGGACTACCAAAGGGCATTGGTGGCTATGGTAACGAGCTGCATGGGGTCACCCGCCTGCTGTCCCACAGGTCACCAACGAGATCACGCCGGTGCTGTCCTACTCCTACCTGGCAGTGCTGGTGCCCACCTTCCTGCTGACGGACTACCTGCGCTACAAGCCGGTGCTTCTCCTGCAGGGCCTGAGCTACATCTCGGTGTGGCTGCTGCTGCTGTTTGGCCACTCCGTGCTGCACATGCAGTTCATGGAGTTCTTCTACAGCCTCACCATGGCTGCCCGCATAGCCTACTCCTCCTACATCTTCTCCCTCGTGCGCCCCGCCCAGTACCAGCGCATGGCCGGCTACTCGAGGTCCTCCGTGCTCCTGGGCGTCTTCACCAGCTCCGTGCTGGGCCAGCTGCTCGTCACCGCGGGCGAGGTGACCTTCCAGACGCTCAACTACATCTCGCTGGCCTTCCTCACCTTCAGCCTGATCCTCGCCATGTTCCTGAAGCGCCCCAAGCGCAGCATGTTTTTCAACCGCAGTGAGCCTGCCCACGGCGAGGCCTCGCCCTCGGAACTGGACAAGATGCGCCCTGGCCCTGGCCAGCCCATGGGCAGGAAGCTCCCCCGGACTCTGCTGGCGGGCTGGAGGGACTGGGTCCTCGTGCGCATGCTCCGTGAGTTAGGCGCCAGCCTGCGGCTGCCACAGCTGCGCCTCTGGTCCCTCTGGTGGGTCTTCAACTCGTCCGGCTACTACCTAATCGTCTTCTACGTGCACATCCTGTGGAACGTGGTCGACCCCACCAAAGACACCACCAAGGTCTACAACGGTGGCGTGGACGCCGCCTCCACTCTGCTCGGTACGCCCAGCCAGCTCTGCCCGCCCGCCCCGCCTGCCCTAGGAGGATGGCAGGCCGTGACTGTCCTGTCTCCCCAGGCGCCATCACCTCCTTTACGGCGGGCTTTGTGAAGATCCGGTGGGCCCTGTGGGCGAAGCTGATCATCGGAGGCGTGACGGCGGTGCAGGCCGCGCTGATCTTCCTCATGTACAGCACGAGCAGCATCTGGGTGTGCTACGTGTCCTACGTGCTCTTCCGTGGCTTCTACCAGTTCCTGGTGCCCATCGCCATGTGAGTTGGGCTGTGTGGGGTGAACGAGAGGCTGAGCAGCGTAAAGCAAATTCGGTGGTGGGAGGAGCGGTGAACCCTGGACACCGTTAGCCAGGGGTGCAGTGTACCCTTGTCCACAGCACGCACACCCCAGCTGCCTGCCATGGCCCTGAGACTTAGCAAGGAGCCCTCCCATGTGGCGTATTCTCTGCTCCTCCCATCAAGGCTACTTGGTGTCCGCAGGGACTGGTCCTCGTGAAGTGTTTCCTCCCAGCCTCCCGCCTCGTTTCCTAAGTCCCAGGAGCTGCTGCGGTCCCATCTTGGGTTCCTCACCCTCTCTGTTCCCGCTGTGGGGAACAGCAGCTCCTGGCCAAGGAGTGACCTGGTGTCTCAGCTTACCTCTGTCCAGGACTCTCTTGATGGCCTCATGTTCCTCACAACCCTAGGGACCCTCCTGCATCTGCCCAGGGACATCCTGAGACCTGCCCACAAGCTCCCCTGTACTTCCAGAACCTTCCCGTGCTCATACTCTGCTTGCTCCTATGACCCACTGTGTTCCTTTGAACTGACCTTTCACAAGCCGCTTATTCACACCATAGTGCTCACACCATATGTACTCACACCACAAAGGCATACACCACACATGCTCACACCACGTGTGCTCACACTACACATGCTTATTCCACACATGCCCACACTACACATGCTCACACCATACAGGCACACCACACGTGCTCTCATACCACATGTGCTCACACCACATATACTAATACCCCAAAGGCACATACCTCATGTTGCTCATTCCACACATGCTTACAACACACATGCTCACAACACACAGGCACACACTACACGTGCTCATGCCACACAGGTACACAGAAGCCTGCCTCCCTGTGCCTCCTGCACCTGGTGGGTGTGTCTGTCACCATAGTCCCCCTGCAACCCCCAAAGTGGGGCACCTTCTGTCCTCCTCCTACTCACACCCATGTTAGAAGATCTTTGCCCTCCTCGTCTTCAGCTCGGATGGTATCCTCTGTCTCTTGATCCACTGCAGTTCCCACTCCATGGAGTGGTGGCCTGACTCCCCTGTGCCATCTCCCAGAAGCGCCCAGCACACACTGCCCTGCCCACTTTCGGCCTGCCCCTGCCCTGGGCTCAGAGCCTGGGCCAGACCTAGCGTCCTTCCTGTCCTCCTGAGGGCTAAGTTGCCAGACACCCTGACCGCACACCTGGCAGAAGACACCTTTCCATTTACCTGGTCAAAATGCAGGTGGAATTGGTCCCCTTGGTGACAGGTGACATGCCACATGGCTAATCCCCAACTGACAGGGATGACGCCTTCAGTATTTTGCTATGACGGGCCACACTGAGATCACTAGCCTCTCGACCTGCATTTCCCCCCCCCCCAATTCTGATGATGGTCTCAGATGTTCCTAGAAAGGAACTGGCCAGGTCAAAGGGCATGTGCTTTGGTAGAATAAGGCAGATGCCAAGCGGGCAGCTTGCCTTTTCTCCGAGCGGCAGGGCTGGCTCCTCCCTGGTGTCAGTGGACTCTTCACCCCATGGGCTCTCTTTCTGCCGGGTTTTCTTGTGTTCCCTCTTTGTCTGTAGCGCACTTACATCTACCGTTTGTGGTAGGTATGTTACGCTTTGCCTTTCATCCTCCTTACAGAGTAGGTGTGCCAGGTGAAACACTCATGCCGAGGGTGTGGCGTGTGGGTGGCGTGACATTGGCTGTGCTGGTGGAACCTCACCTCGCTCCGTTGTCCTAAGAATTAATCTGTCCTCTCAGACCTTTGATTGACAAGGCCTTGTCTCAGTTTGTATGCAGTCTTTGTCATGTGATTGGTCATGCTGGCATTTCATGTATTTCTTAATCCTTGGACCTCAGTACAGCTCTTGGCTTTGGTCATTCTCTTTAAAAGCTTGTTGGGTAATTTTATTTGTTTATTCTTCAAAACTTTATTTCTTTGTTTTATTTTTTAAGAAATAATTTTTAAAATATATTTTATTGATTTTTTTACAGAGAGGAAGGGAGAGGGAGAGAGAGTTAGAAACATCGATGAGAGAGAAACATCAATCAGCTGCCTCCTGCACACCCCCTACCAGGGATGTGCCCGCAACCAAGGTACATGTCCTTGACTGGAATCGAATCTAGGATCTTTCAGTCTGCAGGCCGATGCTCTATCCACTGAGCCAAACCAGTTTGGGCTAGAATATTTCTTTTTTTAAAATTGACTTTAGAGAGGAAGTGAAAGGGAGAGAGATAGAAACATCAGTGATGACAGAGAATCATTGATCAGCTGCCTCCTGCAAACCCCCCATTAGCAATTACGCCCATAATACGGCTATGTGCTCTTGACTGGAATAGAGTCATGACTTCCTGGTTATAGCTGGACACTCAACCACTGAGCCATGCTGGCTGGGTGAGAACTTCAGACTATTTCTTATTTAGTCCTTATTTTTAAAGGCACTTTGGGAATTTTAATTGGAAGTACGTTCAAATGTTAATTTCTTTGCAGAGGATAGGGAGCTCTGAGAATATTAATTCCTTCTTCTCTCCTTATTTGTTTAACTGCTCTTTCTCTAACTTATTGAATCACTTAATGACTTTATAATCATTAAAGACTCTACTATCATTAAGGACTTTAATTCTAGAACTTTCCTCATGATGCTCTGCCTGTTCTCCTGAGGATGATTTTCTGAGAATGCTGCAGTGAATGAGTTACTCTGTGCCAGGGTTAAATGTCTTCCCGAGTTTGCATTTGGCACTATTTTGCATTCACTTTGTGAGTCGCTGAGAGGAGGATGCAGTGGGTGGCCTGGGTGCTGGGCTGGGCTTGCTGGTCTCCAGTGGCCTTAGCAGGCATGGCCAGTCATCAGACCACAGAGCTGTTTCTGGCAGCCAGTGTCACCTTTGTATTTGTGACACTTCTTGTCCCTCCCAGCCGAGGCTGATCTTGACCTGCTTTCCCTTTAAGTTTTCAGATCGCGTCTTCTCTTTCTAAGGAGCTCTGTGCCCTGGTCTTCGGAATCAACACGTTCCTTGCCACTGTTCTCAAGACCATCATCACCCTCATCGTTTCTGACAAGCGGGGCCTGGGCCTCAAGGTCCATTCCCAGGTCAGCCCTGCATTGGGTTCGCTTCCTCAGGGAGAGGAAGGCAGGTGGGAGGGGAGAGGGGGGCAGGGAGTGGCGTGTGGGGAGGGGGAGGTGTCTGGGCCAGGGTCTCCTGGTGTTTATCCAGCCAGCAGCATGGTCCCCTCCATGGGCCCCAGACCACAGATCTACTGAGGTCAGGGGGCATGCACAGGGCGGGCCGGGCATCTCCAGCTGGGTACACTAGACTTACTGAGTCGGAGCAGGAGTATGAAGTGAGAGAACCCAGGCAAGGAGGGAAGGATCAGAGGACTGGCACCAGGGAGCCACGATCTGGCATCTGCTGTGCCGGCCTGTCTTGCCTCCTGGGGCTCAGGGTGAAGCTGTAACGTCACCCGACTCCACTTGGAACATGAGGCCTCTTCATTGAGTCTGGATGCAGGTCATTTCTGGAGGTCTTCCTGGCCCTGGGCATCCCCCAGGATGGCTGAGGGGCTCCTCATGGGAAGGGCGGAGGTGTGCCAGCAGTGAGTGGTGGGAGGGCCTGTCTGGAGGGCATGAGCCCTGTGTCCAGGGATGGGCAGGTTGAGGTCTTTGTTGCAATATCGCTACCAGATCACTGACCATTAGGGTCAAAGAACAGAAGCTTCCCTCCCCTCTGGTTGCTGAGGCTGCTCTTCCATGTCCATACCCCCGGGTTCTTCCCTCTTCCCCAACCGCGCGGCCACATCTGTACCCGTGGTTTTGCTAACTGTGCGTTCTTGTTCCTTCCTGTTGTGCCAAGTTCCGTCTCAATCATCCCCTTCTGGCCCAGAGCATCTCCTTCGGCCATTCCTTTTACTCCTGAAGGCTCCTGGGCTGACAGGGTCCTTCCAGCGGGGAAATCTGTGCCCCTTCCTTGCGGCCTTCGTAGTTGATGATGAAAAATTCTGCCATTGTAATTGTTCTGCCCCTAAGGTGCCATTTTTTTAAGTGGCTGCATTCAAGATTCTTTTCTTTTGTCTTTCACTTTCAGAAGGTTGACTGTGGGGCGGGGTGTCCCTGCCCCTGTGGACGGGTGGGAGCAGGGGGTGAAAGTCCTGAGTCCTCCGGGGTGGAGTTGGGTGCCGGCACCACCCGTGGGTGGGAGTGAACATCCAGACTTTCCCTGTGAGCTCCCCACGAGGCCTTGAGCTCCACCCTCCGCCACGGGGCAGGGGCCTCCTTACAGCCTGGGTGCCGAGGGTGGTTGTAGCCGGAGCAAGGCTGTTCCGTCTGTCAGCTCCTGTCCTCTGGGTGTCCCTCTCCTGGTCCTCTGGTAGAGAGAGCAGCTTTGTTGGGGCTTTTTCTCTACACATGTTGCTGTTTCTCAGTTGCTGGCATCTTTAGTTTCAAAATACCTGCAGCAAAAAAAGGAAATAAAGCCCGAGACTCATCATACGTCACCATGCTGTGCCTCGGGCTCTGGAGTCCCAGCTGGGCTTACTCCCCCCACTCCCCCCATTCCTAGTCACTTTCTTTCTTTTCTTTTCTTTCTTTCTTTTTTAAATATATTTTATTGATTTTTCACAGAGAGGAAGGGAGAGGAATAGAGAGCTAGAAACATCGATGAGAGAGAAACATCAACCAGCTGCCTCCTGCACACCCCCTACCGGGGATGTGCCCACAACCAAGGTACATGCCCTTGACCAGAATCGAACCTGGGACCTTCCAGTCCTCAGGCCAACGCTCTATCCACTGAGCTAAACCAGTTTCAGCTGCCCTAGTCTCTTTCTGATGTTGCTCTGTGTGGCTTCCAGGGCTTCAGTCATACTGGGGAAGTACGTATACGGGAACCATGTGACTCCATCTTCCTGGAGCAAAGTCCTCCGCGGGTCCCTGGTTCCCTTGCTGCTCTGCTTTCTAAATGAGCAGGTTTCCTAGAAGGGCTGAGGGTGCCTGTGTCACGAGGGCTCAGGGAGGAACTTGAGCCTGGTCTGGCCCACAGTCGCCACATCCGGGCCTCCAGTTCCCCGGGTGCTCATGAGAATCAGGAGGGACTTTTTTTGTGGGCCGGGAGCGCATCTCTTCGTGTCACTACTGGCCCGTTTTGCCCGTCACCAGGGCGGCCACTGGCTCCGTGTGTGGGGCTGCCTGTCCTTGACCGGCTCCACCGCATGCATGCACGGATGTCCATGAGTCCACGGCAGAGTGGGAACTCTGCCCATGGTGCGAAGTGCACACTTGTGGTCACACAAGATAAGCAAAGCACTGGGGGGTAGATCACAGAGGCCACACAGAGACAGCAAAAGTGCCGGGTTCTGAGAGAAAGTGGTGGGAGCCCCCCCCCCCCCCCAGGGGCTGTGCCGTGTGGCGGCAGGAGTGTGGATGGGCAGGCCTTGTGCCCCGTGGGACCTGCTGGGGGCTGGCCTCTGACCCCTAGTGCCCACCCCACTCTTGCAGTGTTCCCGTGGCCTCTGAGCAGGAGGGAAAGAGAGGGAGGATACACATCCATGTGGGCAGCCTCTCGACTGTCCCTCTCCTGTCCCCCACCCACTCGTCTGCCTCCCCTTCCCTTTCCAAAGCCCCCCCCCCCCTCTCCCAGGCTGCCCCTGTTCCCCACCCCCACTCGCACCTTTCTCTGTTCTAGTTCCTCGTCTACTTCGGGTACTTTGTGGTGCTGTCCGTCGCCTACTTCCTGGGAGCTGTTCTGGGGACCCTGTGGCACTTCCTGGGGAGCCACCACCGGCCGCTGCCCCTGGGCCAGGAGCTAAGGAGCCCCTCAGAGGAGAAAGCTACTCAGGTACTGAGCCTACAGGATGGGGCCCTCAGCAGCCTGCAGCCCGAAGCCACAACTCTGGCCCCGGAGGACAGCGCGTGGGCCGCAGCACCAGTCCCGAGGGACCAGAGCGAAGCCAAGGCCTAACCTGCTCTCTCTGCATCCTCCATCCTCACTGAGCCTGAGTCCTGACATCTCAGAACGGTACATCTCTGCCAGGGTGCTGGTCCCTGTGAGCCTGAAACCATCACATCTCAGAACGGTACATCTCTGCCAGGCTGCTGGTCCCTGTGAGCCTGAAACCATGACATCTCAGAATGGTACATCCCTGACAGGTGCCAGTCCTCAGAACCAGGAAGCTGGGGTTTTGGCATTGTTTGAATTCCGCTGTTCACGCTACGGTACCAATGACCAATGGGGCTCCTATGACACACACCTCGAGGGCCACTGCCTCGGCCAGGGGTGTCTTAGCTTGCCCTGCGCCTCCCATTGGTCTCTGGGGACTGGGGAGGTGGCCCCCTGTGCTTAGCCCAAGTGACACCAGCCCCTGCAGGGTGTCGTGAGCCCTGTCGGGTGGTGGTGGGGGCCTGGGTTCCCCTGGCTCGTGGCTACCCTGACATTTCTAGTTTGCCCTGGTGCTCACGTTTTAAACAATGCTGTGTTCCTTTTATTTTATTTTATTTTTTAACTATCGTGTATGAAAATGCTTATTGAGCCTGTTTCTGTGGGAGAAGCTGGTCCTGGGGCAGGCAGGCATTTCCCCGCTGGATGGAGCCGGGGTGCTGAGGTCTTTCGGAGCTGGCTCCTCTGGGCCCTGGGCCCTGGGCCCTGTCGTCCTTCCGCTTCCTGAGGTGGGTTAACCCCAGTCTGCCTTGCTGGTGATGGAGGGCACCTGGGCTGCTCACACACCAGCCCGGAGGACATGCCACCTGGGGCTCTCAAAACCAGTCATGTGAAAATGTAAGACCAGAAATATTAAATAAACCACATGACCTGTGAGGGGCTCCTGATTCCAAACTGGTGGTGTGTGTGTGTGGGAGGGGGGGGGTTGCTGGGGTCTATTCGGAGGCCAAGAAAGGGGACCAGCCTGTCCCAGGCTCAGAAAGGGACATAACCTGGACCACCATGCCCTTGCTGCTTCTCCCATGACCCTCTGTCCTCATGCCAAGTGGGGCAGCTGAGCAGCAGCCTAACAGGCGGGTCCGGTGGAAAGGCCGCAGCTTGGAGCCAGCTTGGCATGGAGGGTCAGGAACACTCCTGGCCCAGGAGGGGCTGCTGGAGCTGGCTGAACAGGGCATCTTGGGCACCATGGAGCCGTGGAGAGTGTACACAGGGTTGGCTCAAGTCACGGCCAATGGTGTGGGCCAGACTGATGGGTTGGTCCTCAGAGTGTCCACACAGGCCACTGCTGCCCTTCTCACCCTGCTGGGAAGGCAGCACTGAGCCCAGGGCCCAGCACCATTTCCCAATTGTGCTTAGAGATCGAGCAAGACTTCATGGATTGGTTGGAGGGTTGGGGGGAATCTCCTCTGGTCACTGACCCCACAATCAGGGCTCTGTGCCTTTGGACTGGGATACCCCTGCGCACCCCTTCACCCTCCACAGCAAGAACACCCTCAGCAGCTGGCCCAACTGCTCCCTCTGAGACCCTCCATGTGCACTGTGCTGCTCAAACCCAGAACTGCCTCCAGGCTCCCAGAACCGCCTCTCTCTGCTGCTCCCAAGCCCCTTGGCCACCAGGGCAGGGGTGGCATCTGTTCCCAGGGCACAGTGAGGCCTTCTCCGTGCAGTGTGCACAGCCCCTTGGGGTCAGACACCTCCCAGAGCCTGGCCGGCTGCAGCACCTGTGGGGAGAGCATGGTGGTGCTGAGTGTGAGCCCAGGGCAGGCCACCGGCACGGGCCTGGGAAGCCTGCTGCCCCAGGGAGACCTGAGAGGAGCAAGGTCCTCCATGGACACCCGGTACATCTGTGTACACCTGGGGATGTCCATGCACAGCCGTGTGTATCTGCATATTGCACACCTGGGCTCCCTCAGGGCCCGCCCACTTGGGTGTGTGGGGACTTAGGCCCCAGAGAACTGATCTCAGGACAATGCAGGCCACCTGCAAACCAGTGTCCATGTACATAGATGTGTTTACTTGGAACCACATCTCACAGTCACCAGGACTCGCTCTGGCCCGCCATCCCTCCCAGCGTGGCTACCAGTGGGGACACCTACCAGCTCTCCCAGAGACACACACGCACCTCAGAATGTCTCCCGAAGTTCTCCAACAAGGACAATGATGTGGGTTTTGAGATGCGCTGTTGTGGATGGTGGTGAACAAGGCAAAACACATGGCCTCATTCCCTCATGCGCCTGGAGCTAGTTTGTGGACATGGTCCAGTCCTGTCCTCCCCCTGCTGCAGCCCCTCCAGGCGGCCTCCATGCAGGGCTCAGCAGGAGGCAGTCTGGTCAGGGACGCGAGGAGCCCTAGCAGGTGCTCCGGGCAGAGCTTGGCCTTCATGGGTGTTGGGAACTCTGGCCTGGAAAATGGGGACTGGGCCTGGCCAGTGTGGCTCACCTGTTGAGCACCGACCTGTGAACCGGGAGGTCACATTTTGATTTCCAGTCAGGGCACATGTTCAGGTTACGGGCTTGACGCCCAGTGTGGGGTCCGCAGGAGGCAGCTAATCAATGATTGTCATCATTGATGTGTCTATCTCTGTCTCCATCTCCCTTCCACTCTGAAATCAAAGTACACGCGCGCACACACACACACACCCCAGACACACGCACACAGGCCCAGTGCACGGATTTGTGCAGTGGGTCCCTCGGCCTGGCCTGCTCCCTCTTGCAATCTGGACCCCTTGGGGGATGTTGGACTGCGGTTTTGACAAATCCGTGCACCGGGCCTCTAGTATGCATATAAGATCTTTGGTTAATCTCTGTCCCTGCCCCAGAGATTCATCAGTCTATCCCATGTTTCCATGCCTGTGTGTTGAGCGTCTGCCCCGATGGTCAGTTTGCATCATAGCTACCAGTCAGCCACCTGGTTGCTTAGGCTTTTATATAGATACTGGAGACACGGTGGGGATTCATGCACTGGTGGGGGACTGTGGACCACGGGGATCAGATTACTGTGGGAGCGCTGCTCATGCCAGTCAGCGGCTGTCCAGTGGCTGCACCTGCACTGAGCACCTGCCCCCTGGTGGTCAGTGTGTGTCACAGCAACTGGTTGACGGTTCATTCCGCCGTTTGGTCGCTGGGCTTTTATTATTTAGGAGGAGATATATGGATTTTAAAGGGTTACTGGAGGTGGAGTTGGGGCCAGGAACAGGATGCTACCATGTCTGGTTTGTGAACCCTAAAAACACACAATACAGCTATGGCTGGGGCTAGCTCTGCACTGTTTTCAACCTCACAGATCAACTGGGGAGCCAGCATGGGACAGAGACCCCACGGGTCAAGGCTGACTCTGGGAGAAAGGGGATGCACAGGCCACTAGCACAGCATGGGGGGCGGGGAGGTAATGCTCTCCCCCATCCCCTGACTGGAGCCAGGCTCAGCAGTGGGGTGTGGAGCTGGGCACGGAGCTTGAAAACTGCCCCAGTGGAAGGGGGGATCGCTGCAAGAGACAGAGGAGAGCTGGTCCCCCTCAGAGCCAAGGCCTGAGTCGTCTGGACTGCTGACCGCCTGGGGAGGGGGGGCCCGCTTTACTGCTGGCACAGCCCCTGGCCCAGATAGAGAAGGGAGGAGGGAGGCCGTGGCTAGTCTGCAAGCGAGTCTGCGTTTTGTGCAGAGAAGGGGTTTCAGGCAGAAAACTGAGTCAGCCCCTGCCTGAAGAACTGAAGAACCCTCTGGAGGCCTGGGGTGCACATCCTGCCCAGGGGAGTGAGGGCTAAAGGCCACAAGAGAAGAGGGAGGGAAGGAGGGAGGGAGGAACAGGACTGGGTGCGCCCCCTGGTGTCTAATCTGAGGACCTGCATGGCCAGGCCAGGCCAGCTGGGGCTTGGAAACAGGCAGGGCAGGAGAAAAGAGCTGGCACCAAGCTTTCTGCTTTAAACTTTTTAAAAAATACACTCTTTGGCTTTCTTTTATTTCTGGAGGATTACATGAAATGTGAACCACACAGGAATGTGTCCCAGCCAGGTCCCCGGTCTGGAGTGCTGGCTGCCGCTCCCTGTCCGGCCGGCACTGGGGGCCTCTCCACTCGCCCTGCCGCTCGGCCTCCTCTCGGGCCCTCGGGCCGTACGTCACGTGAGCTGGCAGAAGCCCTACTTGGAGGAGGTCATGAAGCTGTTCTCGATGCAGAGGACGATGAAGGCGTGGTGGCAGCTCATGGCTTTCTGTTCCAGCAGCCTGCCCGTCAGCAGCGAGGAGGCCTGGCCCGTGGCTGTTGTGGCCTCAGTCCGCCACGTCTCGCAGTAGCTCTCCGTCAGCCGGCGCCCGCTGGGGTCCGAGCCGTGCCACACACTCTTCTGTGGCCTGCAGGACACGGGCTGTCAGTCTCCCCGGGCCCTCTCCTCCTGGCGCGGAGGCCACCCTCAGGCAGAAGAGGGCGGAGGCTGCAGCTGGATATGGAGGTGCTAGGGGGGACTCGGGCCATCCCTAGGCACCGGGGACAGTGCACCCCGTGCTGCCACTGCTTCGGGGGGCGCAGTATGGGGAGCAGCCTCTGGGACCCTGATGACTGGTCCCTTGGGGCTGGGTGCTTCTCCGTGAGGGCACCTACTTGTCTGAGCCATGAGCCACCTTGGAAGAGCATGCACTAGGGGGACAGGCACCCTCACACCATGCCGGCAGAGGGTCCGAGGGTGTGAGGGCGACCCGACAGCTTCCACCACTGTTTGAAGGACAGACATCCTCCAACTGGGAAATTCCGTTTGGGGGAATTTACGGGAGCAATCGCTCCCCGTGATGTCCACGTGACAGACAGCGAGAGCCCCCTGGGCACCCACCATTGGCCAGTCTCCCGGACAGCAGTCGGGAGGGAGGGGGTCCCTGCCCAGGGAGCAGGCTGGTGAGTGTGTTCATACAACACACAAAGAACGCTCTGTGTCATTAATGCTCTTCTGGATCTTGGGAGTTTTAAACAGCGAGCTCGCATCGGGTAGAGGGTCAGGCGAGACAGGGAGGTGCAGCGTCAGGGGCCTGCACTGGGCCAGTAAGATCCAGAGCTCTTCCCGCCGTCTCCCCAGCTACTGCACTCACGCGGGGGCACCTACCAGGCGGGGTGCTGCAGCACGTCCCTGCCGTCAAAGGAGAGGATGCGGGCCCCCGGCTTCAGCTGGCCCTGGGAGCCCGAGAACAAGGCCTCCCAGTTGGGGAACAGCTCCTCGTCCTGCAGAGGGAAGAGGGGCGGTTTACCCATCTCTGGTCACCCCCCACCCCCACCCCGCCCCGACAGAGGGCCATTGGCTGGGCGCCTTAGCAGAGCAGGCACCTCCCCCAGCCTGGACCCCAGGTCTGGGACGGGCCCACCACCTGTGGCCCTGAAACATCAGGGGCAGCTGGCAAGCACACGGTGGTGAGCCATGAGATAAAGCCATGGGAAGGGCCTTGCTGGGTTCTCAGGGGTGTGAGCAGCCCAGTGCCCTCCCCCGACTCCCAGGTCCCTCGTCCCAGTTCTGGGAGCTCCCCCGCCACACACACTCACAGGGTAGCGCACCCACCCTGAGGTTGACGATGGGCATGGTGGCCCTGTCGGCGCGACGCACAATGCTGTAGAGGTCCTGTAGGCGCGACGACAGGAAGGCCCGGAAGGTGCCCGCCAGCCCCGCCGCGCGCGCCTGCTGGAAGCACTGGAAGTCGGCGCCACGGATGCCACGCAGGCCGCCAGGCTGTGGCCCGTTGAGGGCGACCAGGTGCAGCTGCGGGAGAGTGGCACTCAGCGGCAGGCAGCCGCCGGTGACATCGGGTAACGGTTCTGGGCCCCCTCCCCGCCTGCCCTCCCTCCGCCCCGGCCCTGCATGCACAGTAGGGTTGAGTCTCAGCACAGACAGGGCTCAGGAGAGC